AAGGGAAAAAATCCAGGAGGCCAATGGTTCAAGGCAGCAATGCCAGGCCACTAAGGGACTAACCAACCCCACACTTGATGATCCCCCTCCTCACCCCAGGCCAGATGGCAGAGCCAGATCTTCAGATTCCTCTGAAGGGCCAGGAGTGTTTGTTCCTGGAAAAGTGTGGAGCTATCCTTTAATGATGTATTTGGAATATCTGGTTTTTTCTTGGATATATCTCAGTAGAAACTGGGAACAACTGGCACACGCTTCCTTGATTAAACACATACTTTTTTTGAGGGGGGGGCTATATCTAGATATAGATATTGGCTCCTTTGTATTGTGCTTAAAATGAGAGAGTGTTTATCTGTAAGTAAGTCTGCTATTGTTTGGAAGAACTTGGGGTAGCACTCAGCAGTCATCAACCTAGTGATGTAGCCTAGGCTATTAAAGAGCAACTGACTAAAAATTGTCCAGGGAGGTGACAGAGCAACAGCTTGAACCCAGGCCTCCCTGATCCAGTGCCAGGACCATATGACTTTGAGCTGTGTATCCTGCTATTTCAAGTATCTATCTTCATTATTTTTGAAAATAAATTTCCCTGGTAGTAGAGAGGCCTCATCCCAGTGTATTTATTGGAAGTTAAATCTTCTTGAGAGTGTTCTAGCTGGACATTTCAAAGTACAAGCTAGAATGTGGTTCTAACCTACTCCAAATGAAGATAAGTATGGATAATTTCTCATATGTAGAATTATATATATTTTTTATTCTTAGCTGTTTGGAAAGGTGGGATATAAATATTTTGAGTAGGTAATTTAAACATTCAAATTATCCAGGATTAAATGGAGATAACTCTGGGAAAAAGCAGGACTGTGAGTACGAAATAGGAGTAAGGAGAAAAATACTGTTGCAAATATATCCCAGTTAAATATAAGCAGTGACACCCCTCTGGCACTAGTTTTAAACTTTTACCCTGTGAGGTTTGCTCAGCAGATGCAGAGGTACTATAAACACTGAAGTAGGAACCCTTCCAAAAACATTTGAGGAGGAGCGCCCTTGCCTGAAAGCTTTTGAGTAGGGCCATGAAAATGAACCAGCAAAGCTTCTTTTTCCTGACCCTAAGATTAGTCATTTTCATGGAACCTTGGGAGGGAAGGTGGGTTCCCAAGCTTCAGCAAGCCTCAAAGATGTTGATATTAGGTATATCGTTTCCACTTTTTACACTTGGGACTCGGTGCTGGACTCCAAGGGATGCGTGCTGTCTCTTTTTTGTTTTTCCTCTTTTCCCATCCTGCTCAAAGGGAGCTCAGTCTGTGAATGCTCTCCCGTCTTCTTGTTAATGTTCTGTTTAGATACAAAGAAAAGCCAAAGGCTAGCAGGGGAATACTCATGGATCTCTAAGCTTCTACATGTGTTTGTAGATCTTATAATATAGGACAGAGATAGGCAACATGGAGCTCTCCAGGTGTGGCTGAGCAATAGCTTTCATCGGCCTTGGCCAACATGGTGAGCGGTGAGAGATAATAGGCACTGCAATCCAGCCACATCTGAAAGGCATACGCTGCCCAATCCTGATGTATGGGATTATGAGGATTGCTCCTCCCCCAGACCCCCCCACCCACCAGGAGGGGAGGGAGAAATTAGGTTAGTTTGCATTTTTATGGGAGTTTAACTAATTTGTAGTCCCTGAAATAATATGTGTAGGACATGAAATTTTATTACAATATTTGCCAATTTTGCCAATTAAAAATATAGGCAAAAGTGCACACATCGTTTTTAGGAAAGTTATATGTGCCTAGCATTGCATATAGCTATGAAACTCCTGTGAAGAAATGCCTTATCTTAGAAGAAATGCTGGCAAAATAGTATGTAAGGCGCATGTTAGGAGAAATGTGTAGTGTAGTCTAGTGTAGAATTGGTATTTTTAAAAGTCCTCACAGAAACAGGATGAAATGATGGTTAGGCAGATAAAGATAAATTGGCTCATCTATCAAGTTCAGTTTCACTCAATCTTACTCATGTTCCACTCCCAAATCCATTGTCTATATTTTCTTTTTATGAGTTCTTATTATGTATTCTCACATACCGTTCACTTGCAGTCAGTGGGATTTGTGCTCTACTTAACAGTCCTTAAAGTCTTTAGGCTACTGCCTTCCACACCACTCTGAATCTTTTTCTAAACTCTGTTCTGTTTAGGATTAAACTATGGAGATCTCTTTTATTCACTCCTCCGGTAATGGAGGTTAAAATTTCTGGCTGTGACTTATTGTAATGAGTTAAACTGATGGGTTGTATTCAGAGCCAAGTCGTTTTTATTAATGTTATCCTTATAACATTTTATGTGCCTGTGCTGAAATCATTCATGTATCTGTCTGGACCAGTTTACCTCCCAGTGTAGCCAGTGGAATTATGCCCAAGATTAATGGGGATATATATTCAAGTTTATTTAGCAATTTTTTGTTTTGTTTTTTGTTTTAGTGATTTGCACTGAAGTGCTCAAGCTCAGGAAAGCTGAGTTATATAATGTCAGTCCAACATTATATAACTATCCTTGATTTATACTCCTGTAGGAACCATAGCAGCCTTAACCATTTTATATGAAAATAACCAGTAGCTGTTTCAACTGAGTAATTTGAGCTGTGTATATATCTTACTTGAGGGCAATCTCTCTTTCATACATTTGCTAGGCAAATATGTCAGCTCCAGGTGTCGATAGCTTTTCCAGAGAAACTCAATACAGATCATAAATTAGGCATTTTTAGTAGTATGCAAAGTACTGAATATGCTATGTACTCTCTTTAAACTTTGCCTGAATGTTGAGGCAGAGCAGCCGTGAAGAAAGAAATGTTATCACCGGCCTCTAACTACACACTCTGCTTGAGACACAGGGAATAAAAGCAGGTGTGAAGCTGAATGTTTTACCAAGCAAAGTTCTGCTTTTGTGCTGGTTGTTGCTGAGGCCAGCCAGCTGCCATAACCTATTTACGTAAGCTTGGCAGAATGCCTGTAAGGTTTAATTCCTCATTACTGAAGTATCTAGAGTGACACTTAAGAGGGATCTTGAGATCCCAGTTGCCCAGCCATAGCCAACATATATTCTGAAAGATCAGCATATTTTATGTTGAAAATTTTTGCAGGAATCAGCTCAACATGTTCCTTATATTTTCAGCCCTTTAAAACAATGATACGAAGATTTAAAAATGGAATTGGAACTTCAAAGTGCAGAAAGTGCTTATTCAGTTGCCTATAACTTGCTTTAGGGTTTTATGGACCTTTCTTTTCCATATTGAACAGAATCATAAATAGGACTGCCTCTGTTGCATTCAGTTTTAATTGCTACTGCGGGAATTTACATTTTGAAACACTGGTGGTATGCAGAATGTACATCTGTTTTGGGGGGCTGCAGAGTGAGAATCCCCACTAGGTATCCCCAGTAGGTATCCTTATCTGCAAGGTAGCTCTATGTGGATAATGCACTTTTTATCTGCACCTCCATGCAGAGGATAATGGGCCAGGAGGCAGTGCTGACAGAAGAAATACCATGGGCTCCATGGACCTTAGATGAGCAAGCTTGGGTGGTAGATACAACTTGAGAACAATGCAGCTCACTGCTCATTCATTCAAAGGGTAGGAGTGGAAGCCAGCTATATTTTGCCAAAAAGATTCCTTAGGTTTACTAGCTACCCCATCATTACTAAACTTGAGCTGTCTCTGACAAATAATCATTACTAACTCATCTACCTTACAATCCAGCCAGCACTGTCATTGGGAGTTGTATTCCATCGTATCTGATGGAACGATGTATTTAAAGGCAGTAATTTAGTTTTAGGGTTATAAGAAAAATCACTGGCCTCCCACAGATAACCAACAATATTACTACAGCTTCTTTGGCAACAAACTCCACTGATAATCTAGACCAGCTGCAAAATGCAATATTGTTATATTGCATATAGCATTGGACACAGAGGGTCTTGATAATGATATGACTATGGGGAATTTTGTGGAGCATCTTATCTATCATTAACTACACTAGTGCAAAGTTTCTGTTTCAAGCAGACAAGGGATATTGGTGCCCCTCCAGATACTGCTAAATTGTAACTCCCAGTATTTCTTGCCAATGGCTCTTCTAGTTAGAAATTTTAGTTCAACAACATCTGGAGGTCCATAGGTATCCATTCCTGAGGTAGGTATAAAAATAGCTGAATAAAATACAGCAACATGGAACCCCATAGGCTGATAGTCAGTGTCTTAGACAATATTACCAGCATCATCACCATCTTCTGGGAACGATCAGCATTGCAGCATCGTCTTACCAGTAGAGTATAAACAGCATAGTTTACATAGGGGAATTAGGACAGTTAGAATCAAGTAAAATATCATTGAGGGGGTGCCCAGATATATTTTGTAAATGATGCATGCAATGCATATATAGTTGTTTTCCCTTTTAAAACACAAAGAAGTGTTTTCTCCATTTTTACAAGACATCATTTTTTTTAAAAAAAAATTATAGATAAGGTGAACATTTTTTTCAGAATTAAGCATTAACCAAGTAAACATAACATTTTCCAAGCCTGACGTATGAAATAACTCTTTTGAGATGTAAATGATAAAAGCATTATTTTCCAATGCTTTATGATTTGGGGAATATTTTACCATGTATTGTAACTTTAATTTATATATTATCACCCTTGATCTCTTCATACTGTATCGTCTCTTGCTGATAGACTTAGAAATATGGAGGGGAAAAAAACACAAGAAGAAAGCAAATAAAAACTTTGTAAAAGAAAAAAAAAGTTGGAGTGTGTAGACAACCAAAGAAAGAATTTGGTACATTGAAATGTTGTTTTTGTTGCCTACTATGTGTGGACTATTTCTTACAGCCTGGTTTGTACTATGCACAGAAAATATATGGGAAATGTCTGAATTGTTTTCTTATGAACACAAGCAGAAATGAGTCATACCTCTTATGTGTACCTTAACATCTGATTTTTAAGATATTCTTCTGAAACCTTTTGACAAGTATCTCTAACTAAACAAAGGTAGATCTTTTTGACAGTAGCATGCAATTTTTTAATTGTTTTTTTCATTATTTCAATTAATATTCCACATTCTTACACAGAAAGGAGTAGCTAACAATTTATAAACAACTAAAAATAGCAAAAATTGAACAGTCTTATAAATGTAAAGTTTCTTTAGTTATGCAAGCTTTGTAAATAATTCAAGGCCCATAAACTGCTTTAAAATCCATGTTTGAATTATTAATAATTTTTATTGTTTTGCATCTTATTTAAGCATTGCATTTGGGTTATAAGCTCCCTTGGGAATTTATGCTACTTGGTGCCTAAATAAATACTAGGGTAAATAAATACATTAAATTAAATGTGAGATCTTTGTGATTTTTTAAAGTATGATTTGTGCACACTTTAAACCTGTTTGCCATGAATATGATGCAATTATATGCTGAAATACAGAACATGCTATTGGAATTACATGACTGGAGTCATATACTAAAGTGGCTTATTTTGCCTGTGGACACATGTACATCTTGGCATCCTTGTTCCTGTGCAAGTTTTCCCTGCTCTTTAGGAAGCTAAATTTTAAAGAATTATTATATAACATCAGCTTCTTTGGAATATGGGAAAATAAGAAACTATTAGACCTGTCCTTTATTACTGAATGGGATTACTGAAATGGAATGGGTTTACTGAAATTTTCTTGCACATTACAGAAAGCCCCACAATTGCTTCTGATTTAATCAATACAATGGCTAAAATGCTTTAAAAAATATCTGTCTGTATAATTCTTGTGTTCTGATTTGTGTGGTAAAAATTGGAATTGTTAATTTATTAACTAGTTGGCTTTGTTCAAATAATTTATTATATACGTGCACTTATTTAGCTTACTTTCATAATTGTAGTCTCCTTGCAAATCTTTTCCATTCTGAATTCAGATGATGCCTCAGCTCCTGCACTGGAGCCTCAGCCCCAAGGAGATGAAGAAGGTGAGAATTTCTAGAAATGGGAAGGGAAGTCCATGGCAATTTTAGCTGTATTTTGTTAGAAAAATTGTCTATGACATATTACAGAAAATATGGCCAGGTTTTTTACTCTGGAAGGAAATAATCTATTAGCTCTTCTATATGTTTGATGAAAGTCACTTCCTATATCTGAGGAAGTAGATTCTAGTTCATGATATTATATCACTTTTCCTCCAGTTGTGTTGGACTTCAACCATGGTAATGCCCATACATACCTTGATTAGACTTTAAAGTAACAAAAGGATCTTTTGTTGGTTTTGAACTTGATCTCAGTAAGGATTTATAGTGGATTTATAACCATAGCAGGTCATTAGACTATATGAGATATCCTAGCAACTCCATTTGCAAGTAGAAAGCCAAACCCTCTAAATTGTTCACAAAACCATGGATGGATGGATGGATGGACGATAGACAGACAGACAGACAGACAGATAGATGCCTAAGCAGTTATTTCTGTAGCTAAATCTCCAATCCTAACAGTCTAAGAGTATCTTGTATTGAATGCAGTGGGAATTCATTTTGAGTTAACATGCACAGAATTGCTTTTTAATTGTCATCTCTCAAAACCTGGCAGCTTTACTAGTTTTTTCCAATATTATCCCATTGTCCCTGATTCACCCTGGTTATTCAGTCAATAATCAATGTTGTTTCTGGATTTATGCCAGGAATGTTAGAATTTAGGATCATAATTTGCTATTAGTGTAATATAAAGCTGTTTAACATGAACATTTTTTACATGCAGTGTGTTCGTCCTGTAATATTATCATGCTACTTTTTCTAAATACATTCCTAAATAAGAAATTGTCTTGACGTATTTATTACATAATTTGTTTATTTCTTGGATCAATGTACTTTGCTAGCAATTAGATTTTCCACTGTAACAGTCTGATTTTATTCTTTATTGTTCTAGATATAGCTTCTCGTTACCCTACATTATGGACTGAGCAAGTAAAGAGCAGACAGAATAAGACCAATAAAAATTCTGGTAAGCTGATTAAACTTAATTAGAAGCATCTCAGCTTCAGTAAACTTCATATTTTCAAGTTGTCTTGATTGCTGCCTGGTCAACAAGGAAGAATAAGCAGAATATAAATCAAATAAATAAATAATCTCAGGTATCACTTCTCCTATACTAGGATATACAAATTAAAAGCCTTTTCCAAAGTGGTTTTATCTTTGTAAGGTTAAAAAAAAGTTATCAACTCAAAACTAAACTCCAACAGGATATTATTTTTATATGTTTATATATTACTTGCTGAGGGGTATATATTCAATTAGCCTTTGAGCCCTGATTTTCTCCCACATTTTGATGCTCATATTTCTTATCAGTGAGTCTGGTACTATCTTTAATTTGATAACTTCATCATTTGCTTTTCAGTGTTTTTACCAGCAGTCCATTTTACAAATATATCCTCTTACAGATACAAATTGCAGCATATTTGATTGGTTCCAAGTTCCAATAAACTGTGTGATTTCTTTGTATGTGTGCATAGGATCAGAGTGTACATTTACTTGCTAGCAGCATCTGAATGGCAAAAGTTTCTACCTTCCTCCCTTCTACATACTCTAAAATTACTGGGGACACTGTAGTTATCTCCTTTTAAGATATTCATCTAGAACTAGGAGATTCAGGATCCACACCCACTCATGAAATCTTTCTAGAAGCTTTGGGACAGACCTGTTTTCTGAGGGCAGATGAACTCACAGTTGTTAATACAGTGATGAAATTGGAGGCATGAATGTTATATATACCCTTTGAACTCCTGGAAGAAAAAATAAAATATAAATGTAATGAATAAAGTTTCTGAAATTTATCCTTTTGTTCCTCCAATTCCTTATTCTCTTATATTCAATAGATTAATAAATCTCTTCAAGGCATTTAATCCTATGTACACACAAAGGCACATCTGACTTTGGGTTACCTCTACAATAATCCTCATGACTGGTGATTTTTTTCTGCTTTATCAAATGACTTTGAATTGAAACCTTTTTTTTAATGTCCAAAATTTGTATTGTTTTGATGCTGATTTTTTTTTCAACATCATTTTCTTTCCCAACACTTTTGGAATCCAATTTTATACAATAGAAAGAATGCTGGGAGCAAATACTC